GATTAAGCGAAACACGTCGTTTTCACAGCGCATACACAATCTGCTGCATCGTGACAAGTCGCAAAAGCACCAACCTCAGAGCCAGACACCTGCTTCTCCGCTGCAGATGCGCCATGCGCCTGCTGGTGTCGGTGTTAATGCCGGTGCTGGTGCCGGTGCCGGTGCTTCAGGCTATGAGACGCCCACCATTGCCTACCGCACCCCAACGACACACACAACCCAGAGCAATACCTCGGCAAACGCAAGCGCCACGGCTTCTGCAGACAACTCGCCGCCCAACGGCATTTCCCCGCACGCCTCGTCTGCAAGTCTTATGCGTGACAGCAACAATGCCCCTGTCTCGTCCATGTACCATGCCCAGCGCAACTTTGAGCCTGTGCATCACGACAAGGTATTCTCCATGGGCAGCACCAATATGCGCAGCGTCCAGCGACACAACAGCCAGATCCGGGACACCATCAACATGGGTATCACCCGCCAGGACAAGGCTTCGAGATCGCCCATGCCCGAGCAATCGTCCTCTGACAGCTACGCGACGGATGCTGCGGTAGCCGACGATCTGTCTCAGGCAATGAGAGATGCCAGCATCGGACCTTCTGCTTCGAGGTCTGTGGAAAGTTCTACCCACATCGTCTCACGTGAACCCAGCCAACACACTCTTCATCAAAACCAATCAGCTGCCAGCGTGCATCATGCAGAGAAAACTACCCCTGCTGCTGCCAAATCCGCTGCGCATGTGCCCACCACTAAGGACACAGATGGTCAGCACGACGAGGGTGCTGTTGGACAAGATAGAGCTGATGATGATGATGATGTCGAAAAGCCAGCCAGGCAGCTGAGCGAAAGCCGAGAATCAACTCTTTCTGAAAAAAAGTCGTCTACCAGACATGCTCACACGCCGTCTGAGCTCGCTGACGTTAAGCAGAGACTGGCTGCTGGCACGACCCGCGACCCGACTCTGCTGCCGACAGACCCGTCAGCAAGCGTTCATCCAGAGCCATGCGCAGCTGCTGCGCCGAAAAAGCCCTGCCATAACTACTCGACTCACAAGGCAACACTTAACCAGTTCGGACGCCAGACAAAAGTTATCGGCAAGGGCACTGGTGGAACCGTTCGTCTTCTCCAGGGCGCAGAGGTCAATGCGCGGCCACCAAGCCTGCGCAGTGGTCCGCCATCGTCGCACAACGGCGATGAACCCGCTACCTACGTGCCCAGCGAACACAAGCTCTTTGCTGTCAAAGAGTTCCGCAAGAGGCGGCAGGACGAGACGCCTCGTGCATACATGAAAAAGGTGACTTCAGAGTTTTGCATTGGCTCCTCAATCCACCAGGAGAACGTCATTGAGACCCTGGATCTGATATTCGAGGGTGACCACGTGTACGAAATCATGGAATACTGTCCGCACGACCTGTTTACGTTTGTTGCCATGGGCGACATGGATCTTGAAGAGACCTTCTGCTGGTTCAAGCAGGTCTGCCAGGGTGTGCAGTATCTGCACAAGATTGGCATTGCTCACCGCGACCTCAAGCTGGAGAACTGCCTGGTGACCGACCAGGGCATTGTCAAGATCATCGACTTTGGCTGCGCGACCGTGTTCAAGACGCCTTTCCAAAAGGAGCCAAGCAAGGTCGTCGGCGTATGTGGCTCTGATCCGTACATTGCACCCGAGGTTTTGCAGTCACGCCGCCAGCTTCCGTACTATGCGCAGGTGGCCGATATCTGGTCGGTCGGCATAATGTACATGTGCATGACCCTTCTCAAGTTCCCCTGGCGTATCGCTGACATAGACACCGATCGTAACTACGGCTCGTATATTAGAGACTGGCCTCGCGGCCGTGAAAAGCTGTTTGCCCAGCTGCCCAAGCTGCGTCATGATGGCCAAAAGGTAATAGAGGGCATGGTCTACCCAGAAGTCAAGGGTCGTCTATCCATGGACCAGGTCATGGAGAGCGAGTGGATGAAGGAGATTGATGTTTGCCACAACTCGGCGCCAGCAAGCTCGCACACTCACCGCATGAAAGCAGAGTAATGTGTGTCATTTTCACTAGAATTTTTTATATATGTTCTTTTTTCATAAGCTGTAAAATTATGTCTTTTTTCTATACACGATTTGAAATCAAGCACGCGTATGCGCGAAACGCTGATTACAGAAGAAGTGATCGTGAAGCGCAGCGCATTGTTTACAATTAAGCTTTAGCATTTTAAGCCAAACAAACAAGCAAGCCATTTCACGACCCGCAGCCATAGGAATAGCGTTTTGGACCGAGATTTATTTCTTCTCTTTTCTTGCTTTAGTTAAACCGTTTTTATTGGGACCAATTTTATTTTATTTTTGCATACCTTGACAAACATGTTTGACGTAAACTCTTCTACACCAAAGTGTCCTCCGCCTGCAGCCGTCGCTTCCAGCAGCAAGACCACGCTGAAACCGACTATCAACTCGCCTTCATTCCAGTCACATCCGCAGCAGCAGCAGCACCGCTCGTCTCCTCTTTCTTCCGGACTGCCAGCACAAGACCAAGCGCAAAAAAAGAAGAGCCAGGTGCTGGCCAGCAGCTGCAACGCTGTTAGCGGCATCCGCGGCATCCCGCTTAAAAACAACCCGGCCATCAGGGCAATGGGCAAACAGGGCGCGTTGCCAGCACATGGCAGAAATGGTCATCATCTACCGGCTGGTCTAGCGAGTCCAACGGACAAGTTGATGTCTCCGGCAACCCGAGGAGTAAACAAGATACGGCACAAAAAAATAGAGCTGCCAAAGCCTCGAGTACTCGGTGCTCTGTTTGAATCCATGAAGTCGGAAAAATAACAGCATATTGATCATTGTTGCTGTTGTTGTTTTTAGCACAGATCAAGCCTCAAACTTTTTTTTTCCACATTGTAATGAATCGAAAAACCAACTTGCAAACAAGAAAAAAAAAACGTCCTTTTTAGAATTAAAAACAAAGTACTATTCTTAGTAGTTTTGATAGTGGGAAAGTCTGAACAAAAGTGCCTTTCCGCTGTCGTTTCCAACAGCCATAAATCCAGAGTTTGGCGAAAAATCCATACACTGAATATAACCCATCTTTGAGTTAAGATATGGCCAGTTGGCAAAGACAGAGCCGGTTGGTAGATGAACCAGCTTGACCTGGTTGGTCTTTTTTTGCGAATAGATACCAAGGATCTCTGACGTCTTGTTGAAGCGCATTCCCTGGATAGATGTAGTCAGATTGTCGACCATCTTGAACGGCTTTACAGTGTAAAACTCGCCATGATCACTGTTCTTTTTGGTTTTCATGCTCTTAGTGTCGTAGATATTGACGGTACCAGAAATGTCACCGCTAGCATAGTAGCTGGCATCGGGACTGATCTCCAAGCAGCTCGGCCTGAATACTGCCGGGTCGTTCCAGCGGCTCAGACAACGGTTCTGTCTCAGATCCCACTGATAAACATCGTTATCAAGACCTGTGCTCCAAAGGTAATTGCCATCCGAGGTAAACGAAACATCGCGCACAGGACCATTCATCGACAGAGTACCGATAAACTGCTTGGTAGTAGAAGAAACCATGTGGATCTGACCACCGTTATCCATAAACGCAATTCGATCACTATTAGGATTGCAGTGCATATGCTCTAGACTCTTAATCGTCTTGTGGCCGGGAATTCCCGGGATACGAGCAACCGATCCCTTTTCAACATCAACCGAGTAGTACCAATTGCGTCTACCGCTAGCAACAACCTCTTTGCCGCCACGAATAAAATGCGCAGTGGTGATTGGCAGGTCCTTGAAAAATATCGACTGGATCTTTTGGTTGTCCTTGCCATCGACCTCAAAAAGACGTAGAGTCTTGTCAAGGCCAGCTGTCAAAAGCACGCTAGACGTAGGATGGAACTCGACATTCAAAACAGCAGACTGCGAAGGCGCAGCCTTGTTACCGTTATGCAGCTGAACAATATCGATTTTCGTAGGCTCCAACATTTTGGTACTTTTCGAGATCAACGACTCTGTGGTCTTGAGCATATCGCTACCGATGCGATCATCGTCCATTTCAGATTCGTCGTCGCCCCAGGCCTTGGACTCGGCTTCTGCCGCCCACTTGGGAACTGGATTGACTTTTTGGAACTGCTGCCGCAAACGCTGCTCGTACACGTCTCCAGAAACTTCGTTGTCCTCATGGGTTTTACGCAGCTTGCGCGTACGACTCTGTGACTTCAATGCTATTGTTGCTTGCTGCATGTCATCGTCCACCCAAGCGGCCTTTCCATTGTTATCCTCGTCCTCGGATCCTGAAGACGACAGGTCCTCATCGGATTCAGATGCCTCTGATTCGCTATCGCTATCCATACCATCCACACCGCTCTTTTCAGTGTCGACAAAGAAAAGCGAATCGCCGAAATCGCCACCACCGACTTCTTCTTTATCACTGCCGTCGCCACCATCCTTGTCAGTATTTTCTGACTCTGAACCAGAATCTGCCTCTGCCGCGCTCTCAGAATCTTCATTGGAATCGGTCTCGGCGTTTGGCGATATGCTTTTCGTAGCTGATGGAGCCGCTTCCTGCATTTTATCAAACATGCTGTCCATAATCTCATCGTCATCGCCTCCAAAAACAAGAAGCTCCAGATCCTTCTCTTTCTTGGTCTTGCTCGAATTTTTTGTCGCTTCTGCGCTGTTGCCTTCTACACGTCTTTTTCTTTTGCGCCCCTCGCTATCAGAGTCCCTAGCAGCAAACCGCTTAGAGACGCTATCCTGCGCTGTGATTCCTGCCGCCATGCTCAGTGTGGTCTATATATCTGAGTGTATTTTAAACGAATTAGTAAATGAATAAATACAAACTTGCAAAACAAGAAAGAAAAAAGATGAATAAAAAGTAGACAAACTTGCTGGTACAGGGAAATCGACGGATAAAGCAAGCTTGTGAAGAACAGCACAAAAAAAAACAAAAAAATAAAATTTTAATAAGTAATCGCATAAAATCAAATCACAAAATCAACAGACACAGCAAAAATTAAAAATGTGCATTGGCCGGGAATCGAACCCGGGTCTTCCGCGTGGCAGGCGAAAATCATACCTCTGGACCACCAATGCCACAACTTATCGAGCTAAGTGTTGCAGCTTGTTTGCCAGCTTTTTTGGTGTGTATCTAAAAGTAATTAAAGTAGTAATTATACTTTTTTTGTTTGCGAAATTTTTTGTTGAAGCAGCCGTTGCTGCAAAAAGTAAATAATATTTTTTCTAATAAAAATACAATATTCGTTTATATAAAAAAAGATATGATTGACCTGAAGTATCTTTTTTATTATAGGCATTGATCACGATGATATATGTGTTGTTCATGCTGTGGCAACATTTCAGCAACTTGTATATCGCTTGGCTTTACTGATTATTCTAGGGCTTTTTTATTCTTTACAAAAAGATTCACTGTATTTAGCAAAATGGTTCTTTATTTGTTATTAATATCAGGCTTATATGACAGACATTGTGAGAAGATAGATAATCGGCTCCCAGTCATCATGAGCTGTTCGTTCATTACCGTTGTTCTGTAGGTTGATGATGCTCATAAACTGCAGAGTACCAATGTGCAGATCAGATTATTTATAATCGACTAATAAACCCTTAGTATCATCTTTTTTTTAGTCAAAAAAAAACATATTGTTGTTGTTGTAAATGTCGCAGTGCATAATTTTTTTTTTTTTCACCGTTTTCAACAACCATAATTTTATAATACCCAAGATTACTTGATATTAAAAACGTGAAAATTGGTCGCCATAGATGGCACCTGTCTTGTTTCGCTTTTAAATATACCAGCAACAGTCAATTAACTAATTCACTCTATTTCAATTTATTTTATATAATGGCCAGCAAACAAGAAAGCACCGATACCGATGGTTTCAAAGTCCCTTCACTTCCTGCATCCAAACTAAAACCCGACAAACCTTCAAGCAACATACAAGAGTATTTTCCTGCATTAAAATACACACCACCAAAAGATGCAAGTGTGCCGAAATACAGGTATACGCTGGAGGTAATCAAAGACGGACAGGTTATAGAAGAACACGATATCGGACTTGACAAGACATTTTTCACGTTTGGTCGGCTTCCTATATGCGATTTCCCAATGGAACATGGCTCTATATCGCGTTATCACGCGGTACTTCAGTTCACAGACAATGGATCGGCTTATATCTATGATCTGAGCAGCAGCCATGGGACATTGGTAAATAAAACACCGGTAAATGCTGGTGCGCCCAGAAAAATCCAAATTGGTGATCAGATCAGATTCGGTGTCAGTTCGCGTATCTGGGTCATGAGCACGTCGGACGATCAATTAATAGACGCTCAGGAATCAGAAAGACAAGTCCAAGATGCTGATACAACTGGATCGGATACCAGACAGACACAAGCCAAAATATCAACAGGTGGTGCAGAGATAAGACTTGCGTCCTGGGCAGATGATGATATTGACGAAGCTGGCTCCACAGAGAATACTCAGTGGAAACGCAACCCTGATGCAGCGTACTGCCGTGAACCAATAAAATATCTCAGGGAGTTTCTAACAGAAATGGACCACCCGTACGAGCCAGAAATACAAACCAAAGACGACGAAGATATCGATTCGGAGTTTACAGAGAGAAAACAAACCAAATCTCGCGATATTACAGTTCGAATTGCGCTTCCTGTAGATGGTATTAGCGGAACACCCTTGTATGGAATAGGACAGAGCTTAAAAAAGAAAGAGGCAGAGAGACTTGCTTGTCTAGATGCATTAGAAGAACTGGATAAAAACGGATATCTAAACTTGGAAAAAGATAGAAAGCAAAGCCGTCGTGCAAAGAAACAAGCAACGAAACATAAGAGTGACGATGAGTTTGACGATCAATTCTTCGACCGCACCACACCGACAAACAAGCGCAAACTGGAAGATAAGCCAGAGACATTTGAAACACTGTCTAGAAAATTGGAGGCGACAGAACAAGATATTGAGCAGATTCAAAGTCACTTTGACAAATTGCAAACCGATGCTGCTACAGCAGAAAGTAATGTCGATAATACACAAGACGATGGAGATGAGCTGGATGCTTACATGAATGCACTAGAGAAGGGCGAGCAAGCCAGTACGAAGAAGCAGATGGTAGGTAGGCTAGCCGAGCTGGAAAAAGAGAAAACAAGACTACTAGCATTAATAAAGCTTGTTGCGCCAGAAGAAACTGTTGTTATCAGGGAAAGCAGCCACCACGAGACGCAGACAAAGCGTGTGGAGAGCCAGGAAACAGCGCCAGGTCAGCCAGAGCCTAAACGGCAGCGCAAGAGTCACAGGCCGACGCTTCAGCAAATTGTGACATCTCAAAAAGAAATAAAAGAGAAGCCTCAGAGCCAGAACAGGAACCAGAAGAGTGAGCAAGACAGACCGAGCAATCAGCAGTCTAGCGAAACAGTCGAGTGGCAGCCGCCAGCCGGCCAAACAGGCGATGGTCGCACATCTCTGAACGACAAACTAGGATATTAGCAAGGTTTTATAAAAAAAATTTATATATGTAATGGTAAAGACAAAAGTAAAAGAAAAGAAGAGTTTATAAAAGAAACAAAATCTTAGAAGAGAGGTGGAACGGTTGTCTGAGCGACTGCTTCGTGGTGAGCATCGTCGCCAATAACCGGCTCTTCATCCTCATGATGGTTCTGAGCATTCGGCTCGCCAGCAGCACCAGCAGCACCAGCAGCGCCAGCAGCGTTAGCATCAGGTGCAGCGTTGTTCTTGTCTACGGTGGTAGCGGCCTTCACCATTGCCTCATGAGCCTTATCCGCGTCCGAGTTGAGCTTGTCATGGTCGATGCGTGGAGCAGGCTCGTTGAGCTTATTCTCGTGCTCCAGAGGATCAAAGTTCTGAGCTGGCGGCGGATCAATGTGCGAGGTCTCTACCGGAATAGGCACAGTGAGAACAGTGGGGGCAGCATCCAGATCAACGTAGCGTTTGCAGTCGTAGTCCCAGGTGCCGAGCAGCTTGCTGCGCTGGCAGCCCTGACGGGTCCACGGAGTGCCGTATGCCAGGTGGCTGTACTGGAAGTATGTGCGCACAACCACCAGCAGCAGAATACCCATGATGACATGGCGGATGCGGCGACGCATACGACGGGTCAGCAGATCCAGAGTAGCAGAGAAGGCCAGGATGGCCAGCCACAGCGCAGGCAAATAGTGGTGAAGGAAAAGCTGACGACCCATCAAGAAGAACGGGATCCAGTGAAGAACCCAGCCAACGACCAGGAACCCGACGCTGTCAGCGTAGCGCTCACGTGCACCCATCAGACGGTCGTTGAAACCGCGGCAGCTGCGCAGGAACAAGACGACCTGCAGCACGCCGAACAGAATCACAGAGACAAGCGACAGCCACCAGACAGGCGCCGTGCCCAGAAGATAAATGGTGCGGTTATCGGCGCCCCAGAAAGCCATACCGCGACGCAGCCAAGGCCAGGTATGTGGGCGACTCTCGTAAGGATGGCTCTTGGTCAGACCGTTGTTGACGCGCCACATTACGGCAGTGGCCTCAAGGACCTTGGCCACAAGTCCTGGACGACGGTACTCGGCCAGAGGAGCGCCCGCAGGAATGTCGGCATGGATGTTGGTTTCGATGCGCCAGAGCGTCTTTGGCACCTTGGCCGACTGCATGCATGTGACCTCGACCTGTTCGTGAGCCCACTTGGGCAGCTTGCGGCGGTTGGAGAACAGCGCGCACCGGCGACCAACATGCACAAGGCGGAACTTTGAGTGAATGGCCATAAGCTGGTCGCGCGAGCCAGGAACCGACGCGTCGCCTTCCATGATCTGCACGCGCCAATGGTCGTTTGAATCGCCCTTGAAGCCCTCCCAGCCGTAGCCCGTGACCTCGTTCTGGTAATCGTTGGTGGTGACCGGCGGACGCTCGTCGTGAGAGTGCAGGCGACGGAAGGTCTTCCAGTGCATCAGCCGCACAATATCGCCGTGACGAACAGGCTGCAGCTTACCGGCCTCGGTCGAGTTCTGGTACTTGGACTCTGCAGCCTCTGTGCGCGTGATAACCCAGAAGTTGTTGTCGTCGCGGAACCCGTACAGAGTCACCTGCTGCTGCTTCGAGCCGGTTTCGTAGTTGCTCAGATGCGAGTGAAGATACCCGGCATTGGTGGCGTCGTGGCGGATGCGCAGACGTGAGCCGTAGTAGATATCGCGCGGCGTGTGGCCTAGATTGACTCCATCGAGGGTGTTTTGGAACTCGGGGCTCATAAAGGCATTGCCGTCGCCAGATTTGTGCAGAACAGAGAAATGCACCTGGAACCAGAATAGATACACGACCAGGGGAACGACAATAAGCGCAAACGCACGGGCAATAAAGTGACGTGTGTACTGGCTTGCCGAAATGCTCAGATCGCCGAGCTTGTCCCACAGGTCACGGACGGTCCACACGCCAATGGTCGCGACCAGGAACAGACCGACCCACTTGCAGCTCAGCGCGTTGCCCATGTTGATTCCGGTCAAAAGCAGATATGCCCACCACCGACGGCCAAAGGGCTGTCTTGCCTCTGTGAAAAACAGGGCCCAGAACATGACGGTTGCACCGGTAAAGAAGATCAACGCAGAGTCGAGAAGAATCAGACGCGACTGGGTCAGCAGAGCGTTCTCAAAGGCAACCAGCAGCGCTCCGACAGCACACGCGTCAGCGGCATGGCCCAGTGCTGCCAAGGTCACATAGGTGATTGGCACCATTGCCAGGCCCAGCATCGCAGGCATCAGTCGCATGCCAACATAGGGCACGCCAGCAGCCACATAGTCCAAACCGATCGACTTGAAGTCAAACTTTCCATCGTAGCCAGCAAACTTTCCAGCAGCAGCAAACATCATTTTGGCCAGAGGCGGGTGCACGTCGAAGAAATAGGTGCCGTTCAGGTACTTGCCGGCAAACTTGCCAAAGTGCACCTCGTCGAAAACCACGTTAGCTGGGTTCGACAGTCGCCACAGACGCACATAGGCGGCCAAAAGGACAATGAGCCCCAGCATCATCCACTGGCTTTTGGATATGCGAAGACGCGAGTACCGCTCGCTGCTCGAATACGGTGCTGGCA